CTGGAGATCGACATTGAGTCGCCGTTGTCTCTACTCGCCCTGCTCGGGAGTATTTTTTGACCCTCTTGGTCATAGCGCGCGTTATGCCCCTTACCCCCCCCTTCATAACGTAACTCAGCGTAACTCTCCTCCCCCAAGTGCGTCCCCAGCACTGCCGCAGTGCGTCCGGCACCACGGTCTGGGAGGGGGGGGGGGGCGCTACGTTATGCCTCTTCCTGCCCGCCCCCTTCTCCCCCCTCCGTACAGTGGAGACCCATGCTAAGAAATACCCTGCTTGCCTCTAGGGTGCCCTGGGTTTCTTGGGTTTCGATGGCTTTGCCGCGGAAGACGTGACGTTGCCACATGAAAATATCAAAGGGACGTCCTGGGGTCTCAGGGCTGGGTTTCTCGTGGAAGCTCTCTTGTGGACTGGCCTCCACTGCATGGCCGCGACTACAAGAAGTGCGCTTTTCTGATTCGGGGGCGGGAAAGAGGGGGGTGATGACTAGGGGGGGGTGCATCTCATGGCGGGGGCCATGCTATTTCCCCAGATTTCATGGCGCCTCTTCTTGTTTCATGGTGTTCCCGGACCCCCCGCTGGGCCGCGCACGCGCCGCCGGTCATGATTTGCACCCCCCCCTCTTGGACACCCCCCTCTTGGCCGCTCCCGACTGATGGTCGGACCGCTCCTCAGATCCGGGCCGGGGAGCCTCTGCGTGGCCGGGGGGCCCGCCGTGGCCGGGCGGCGCGCCGGTGGCGCCCGCGGCGCTGCCCAGGGGCCGCTCCCCGAGGCGGAGGCGGGGCCGGCCCGCGGGCCCGCCCGCCGGGGGGGGGGGGGGGCGCCCTGGGCATCGGCCTCCGCACCGGCCGTCGGGCAGTGGCAGCAGGTCGTGGCCGAGCTCCCTCCTTCGAGTACCAGCCTCGAACGTATCCCCATCCCTAAGACTGGCACGCCAAAAGGCGATGACACTCTCAGGGGTTCGCCCTCAAAAAAGAAGGGAATCCCTGAGATTGACATCGTGATGAGGAGGTGCCCAGCATAGGGATAGGGATATGTTCCAGGCTGGTAATTCGAGGGAGCGCCGTAAACATGAACTTGTGGTGCTCCGCGCGGGCTTCTTGGATCCGCGCTGGGCCCCTCTGGCGGCGCCTCCGGCGCCGCCCCTGGCGCGCTCCGCGCGACAGGGAAGGGGGTCCAGCGCGGATCCAAGAAATTCGCGCGGAGCGTCAAAACTTTATGTTTATAGCCTTCGTTCTCCTTCTAAACAGGTCGTGTCCGAGCTCCCTCTTCTACCTGGCACGCCGCAGAGGTGTCCCCGCGTGCGCTGAAGGCCGTGTGGCTGGCCCCGAGGCTTCCCGCAGCGCCCACTCGGTGGCGGCAGTCCCGTCCGTCCCTGTTGCTCTCCGTCTCCTTGGCTGCCGCGCCCCCCCCTGCGGCTGCTGGGGCAGATCATCGAGAACGAAAAATCCCCTAACCCTGATGGCACGATGAGGACGTGGCCTCACCTAGGTCCCCGTCTTCGCACCAGGGATCATAGATTTCGGCGGCGTGGTCCGATACGTCTGCAGAGCAGACGCCCTGTCCCTCATGTTTCTGGGAGGGGGAGAAGGAGGAGGAGGAGGAGGAGGAGGAGGAGGAGGAGGAGGAGGAGGACGAGGACGAGGAGGAAGAGGAGGAGGAGGAGGAGGAGGAGGAGGAGGAGGAGGAGAAGGATGAGGACGAGGACGAGGAGGAGGAGGAGGAGGAGGAGGAGGAGGAGCCCTGCCAACTCCCAAAGGGTCAGGGGTTCCTAGTTGGGCTCCTCAGCAGGAGCAGGCCGCCCGTGAGCATCCGCGCCCGCTCCTGCGCAGAGCCACCCTCGCAGGGCGCGCGCCGTCTCCTCGGCCACCGCGGCACCTCCGGCAGCGACGGTGCGGGCTGCCGCGGGAGGGCCCACGGAGCCCCGCCTCCTGCTCGCGCGGGCCGCCGCCACCCCCGAGTCGCGGGCTGCGCTCTGCTCCAGTGACCTTCCCTCTTTGTTCGAGTAGGGGATCAACTGCAGCACTGATGTACCCCAGACTTTTTTGTTGTTGTTAGGTTTTTCTGTCGAATCCACGAAGGCTGAATAGATCTACGGAGCATTCGACGTATTTTCCGTAGATTCGACGGGAAAGTTAATTCTGCGGTAAATCAGTTCTGTAGTCGATCCCCTACTCGATTTATCCGTCACTCTGTCCCTGTCTTTCCCCTCGGCGTCGTCTTGTCCTGTCCCCCCGCTGCACTCCCAGAGGACGCCGAAGAGAGGGAGCGACAGAAGAAGCTGGAGGAGAAGCAGGCCAAGAAGGCTGCGAAGGAGAAGGCAAAGGAGGACGCCAAGCTCATGGGAATGCCCGCAAAGAAGGATAAAAAGTCTCAGGACGAGGATGTCAGCGAGGACCCACGGGCTGAACGCTTGGTGCGGCACGTCCAGTCGATGGGCGTGTCGAACGAGCATATGCATGTGGAGCAATACGGGCGCATGCCTGTCTGCACGAAAGAGAGCGCGCGTGCTTATGTATGTGTCGCCGCTCGGCCTCGAGTAATTCTGGCGCCCGCAATAATCCAATCATACACACGCACACACGCACGCATGCGAGTTTTACGCATACACTCGAGGAGGAAGAGTTTCCCTTGTGAACGAGAGGGTACGGTGGCCAGGGGTCAGTTTGGTGACTTCAAGGTGCGAGCGCTGGGAGGAGCACTTTGATTGAAAAGCACAGTGGAGAGGGGATCAACAATCAGAAATACGAATTTCATCATTTGCGTGCCATTCGAAACGTATATCGCAAACCCTCAGTACCCGCCCGCTTCGTCTTCGATCGTAGCCACTTGGGGGGTATCTCTTGCTCACCTGCCACATGTAGTTCGCGTAGCCCCTAAAACACGGGAATTAGAGGAGGAGTGAAGAGACAAGGGGGAGGGAGGAGGATGGAGCACGAGCGAGGTTTGCAGGAGAAGGGTTCGGAGCAAAAGCATCAGCGACAGAACCAGACGGGAGTGTCGGGCGGGCGGGCCCTACGGGAGAGTCGGGCTGGCGGGCCCCGACGGCCAGGTCGAGCGGGCGGGTCGCGAAAGCGTCAATTCATCATGAAGGAAGTCTCGAGCGATAGCGCGACCCCCAAGTATGTCGCTAGGAAATCCAAAGCGAGAGCGTGATTCGTGAGTCTTGGGGGCACGCCGCCGCAATCCGTTGTGAGGAACTACCATGCGAGAGCGCGATTCCTGCATACGTTCTGAGGATGTCCCGCGCGAGAGCGCGGATGTGCGAGGATTGTGGGGAAGCATCTGGCGGGAGCCGTTTTTGTTGTAGTTCGGGGGGCAACAACACAGTTTGGTGACCCTGGTTGTTCATGTGAAAAAACAACCAGGTGCAAGCCCTTCGAGGAGCACTTTAATTGAAAAGCACAGGATGGTCACCGAAGGGGGGAGCAGTATGAATCGTCCTTTACACATGAGAATTCAAAAACAATCATTTGAAGACTGTTCGCTCCTACCTGCTCGCGTGCTACTCAACACGTGCATCCCGCACCCTCGATGCCCGCCCTCTTCGTCTTCGATCGTGCCCCCCTGGGGGGATCTCTTCCCTGCCTGCCGCGCGTAGTTGGCGCAGCCCCTAAAACACGGGAAGGAAGGGAGGAGGGAATAGACAATGGGGGAGGAAGAAGGATGGAGCACGAGAGAGATTTGCATGAGGAGAATCATTACTGTTGATCTCCCCTCTGGTAAGCATTGCATGTTTTCATTAAAGTGCTTCTTCTGGGGCTCGCGCCTGGTTGGTTTTACACGGGGAAGTGAGGTGTCACCAAACTACGTTTTCGCCCCCCGGTTTACAACACCAACAACAGTTCCCGCCTGATTATTCGTATAACCAGTGGTGTTATTATTCGGAAGCTCGAACATATACATGACCAGTGGCGGGCTGTTTTTAAATCCCAGGACTTTGAGGGTCGGGGACGACGCTGGGGTGGTGTGGTGTGTACTTTTTTCCCCGATGTCCCAGGGAAACAACGAAACATGTATACACCAGGGTTCCGTATACACCAGGATTCGCTCTCCAGTGCAAATTTCAATGCAGGGCCGGAAAACAGCGTCATTCATATTATTCTTGTTCCACCAAATATGAAGAAGGAATAGCAACATTCGGGCGCAGGATTTTTTTTGAAAACTAATTTTGCAAAGGCATGTGTTTTGAATGTTTTCGGGGCACTCGATTTTGAAATCCTTCCGACACTTATGGTTTTGAAATACTTAGGCATGCGCGCGCGACGACGCGCGCGTGGGCACTTCGTCTCATTTTTTGCAAAAGGGGTTCTTTGATCTGAACACTGCTGATTTTTGATCAACGAATGTGCGCGCGTAGTATCTTTTGCATCGAGTGCAATACGAAAAAGGTGTACTGTTAACCCCAGGGGGGTAGATCCTAGTATTCTTTCAGAAAGGAGAATATACCGCCAGCCAGGCCCTGAGGACAGGCGGCGACGAGGCGGCGACGGGGCGGCGACGGAGGCAACATAGCCGCCAGACCGCCAGCTAGGCCCAGACGACGGGCGGCGCGAGGGTGGCGACGGGGCGGCGACGGCGGCAACAGGGCGACGGACCCAATAAACGACCTCAGACGACGCGCGGCGACGAGGCGGCCATGGGGCGGCGACGGCGGCAACAAGGCGGCTGAGCCGGTAAACGAGCCCATGCGACGGGCGGCGACGAAGCGGCGACGGAGCGGCGACGGCGGCAACAAGGCGGCGGATCCACAAACGAGCCCAGCTCGTAGCAAGACAAATAGGAACCCCTAAATGCAAACACAGCTTGGGGAGTTTGTGAACTTTGCTGCCTGTTGGAGCCCTCCTGGGGTTTCTTCGAGGCCTCTTGAAGTGTCTTGGGGGCGTTTCGGGCCGTCTTGAGGCCATTGTGGGCGTCTTGGAAGTCCCTGGGGACGTCTCTGAAGCCTCTTTGACACTCTGGGGGGCTTCTCGGAGGTCTGTTCGCCCGTTTTGGGCGGGTAAAGCGTCCAGAGGGCCCGCAGTGAACACCTCAGAACTCACGGGGGTCACCCAGGCCCACCCCGAAAAGGCCCGGGGAACCGGCGGTTCGGGCCCTTGTGAATTTACAATCCCAGCTGCTGCAATCCCGGCTGCAGCAACAGCGCCGCTGTGAGCCTTGGGGCACTCCACTTCGTGCCCGAGGCACGGTGGCGGATTATCCTTGTGGTGACAATGGAGGTTTTGTGGGATGGGTGTAGCTTTCGGTTTGCGATGGTCCCGCGTCCTCAGGGTACGCCAAGCGTACGGTACGGGATGCTTTCAGGAGGCCCTCGAGAGGACAAGCCACATCTAATCGTGTTGTACTTCCTGAGTTTTTTTTTTTTTTTTTTTTGTTTGTTTCGATGTCTTTGAACAAAATGGCTCGCGGGGTGCCCTTGCATGTCCCCAGGAGAGCCCCAAAGCGGGCCAGGATGACTTCAAGCGGGTCTAAGGGGGCACAACGCGGCCCCAGAGAGGGCTTCGGAAGAGCCCCAGACGGTTCTCACAGGAGCACAGCACAGTCCAGGGGAGACCCGAGACGCTGCAATAGGGCCCCGAGAGGCTTCGAAGATTGTCCAGGAGGTTTAGGAAGGACGAGGAGAATGAACAGGAGAACGGTCACATAGGCTGAAGCCCACACATGGTAAACAAGAATCTAAATCTGCGTCCGTGCTTCTGTTTATGTCCAACTTGACCCACCAACACAGGATCGTGTTCGCGAGTTCGCGGAGAAGTGCTCTGCCCTAGTAGATGGTGGCTCCGAGAAGAAGGTCGAAGCCCTCGCAAAGGATGTCACCGATATTCTGACAGAGAAGGAGCTGGAAACCGTCACGCCCATCAGCCGCCTGCTGGACGTCCTCCTGAGGCATTGCCGCCTCAAGGAGGACGACTTCGTGATCGATGCTGTTAAGAGATCTGGTAGGCCTGCGCCACCCCGCCAGCGCCAGCAGAAACAGTGCAGCGAAACGTCTACACATTCAGTGCTTGTTTCATCCATTGACGTATGATGAGTGGCCTGGTGCGGGACATTCTGGGCTGAATTTCATGCTGCTGTATTTCCCAGCCGCCTTTAATTGGATGTTTTTCTTCCGCGACCTATGTGAGTCTATCCCTTCTTTTTTCTCCCCGTGTCTCCTTCCTCCTCATACTCTAGATTCTCACTCCTTTCCTCATCCTGATCTTGCCACCCTGGCTACGTCGTCTTTTTCGTGTTCGCCCTGCCCACCCCTCACGCACACTCCTGCCCCACCCACATAAAGCCCCTTATTGAGGTCTCGGTGGGTGGTCCCGTATACCAGTACAGACTTGCCCCGCGATTCATCCCCCCTCCTCTGCCAGGCTGGCCCGTGCCCTGCGCTTTTGGCAGAGCGCCCCGATGCTTGGTGCCCCTGCCTCCAGGACTGGAGCCACGGCTTGAGCTCCCGATGGATGATGATGGTGGATGGTGATGCTGATGAGGAGGACGGGTATGATGGCGTTGATACTGAGGATGGTGGTGTGATGGTGATGGTGACGGTGATGTTGCTGATGCTGATGATGATGATGATGATGATGATGATGATGACGATGACGATGACGATGATGCTGCTGATGATGATGCTGATGATGATGGTGATGATGATGATGATGATGATGATGATGATGACGATGATGATGATGATGATGATGATGATGATGATGGTGATGATGATGATGATGATGATGATGATGATGATGATGATGATGATGATGATGATGATGCTGATGATGATGATGATGATGATGATGATGATGATTATGGTGTTGGTGGTGATGATGAGGATGACGCGGAGGACGAGGGGGAAGAGGAATATTAATGGGGGAGGAGGAGGAGGAGGAGGAGGAGGAGGAGGAGGAGGAGGAGAGGCCATCCACCCTGGGGGTAACACCCTTTGCCTCTGCTTGGCCCTCCCACCCGTCGCGCTGATGTCAGGAGACTTCTGGAGGCCAGTTTCCAGTCACGCGCGGGCAGGTTCGTCTTGGGCTTGCGTAATGCGTTCGTAAACCTTGTGGTCCTCGTGGGCCCTGTGGTATTCATGGGTCCTGTGTGTTGGCTGGTCCAGCAGTGCTCATGGAGTTTGTGTGCTCGCTGTCACTGTGAGGCTCTCATGCGGTGTGTTGCTCGAATGCTGTGTGGCGCACACAATCCTGCGTGCTTGGTGTTCATAAGCTACGCCGCCCCCAGTGGTGCGAGAACAAAAAAGCGCATCGCGGATCGCGCTCTTCGCCACTACAGCGTGAAGGTAATCGCGCATCGCCCTTAGACGGCTGGCTCATTCTCTTTCTGACTGGTTCCGCACTTGCCTTCGACGGATCCTGGTTGTTTCTAGTTGGATTGACGCCTCCCTGCTCTCCTGTAGTGTAGTTGTTATGAGGTTCGTTCGGTTGTTCCCTGTTGTTTCTGTCTTGGGCACTTTGTCATCTCCCCTGCCATCCAGCCTCCTGCACCGTTTGTCTCCAGTTCCGATTGGTACTGGTTGTGCCTGGCCGTTCCGGCGCCTCCCCTGCTTTGATCTCGCGCCCTTGCTTGTTCTCGCCAGGGTTGCAGCGTCTGGCAATCCCTTGCTGTCTTGGCCGTTCTGGCGCCCCTCCTGCTCTCCTGCGGTGCCCTGGCTGCCTCTATAGTTGGTTCGCAGTCGTCTTCGATAGTTCTGGTTGCACCCGTCGTTCGGGCACCTCCCTTGCGGGCCCGCAGTCCTTTGGATTGTTCCTTGTTGTTTCTAGTCGTTCTGGTGCCTCCCCTGCTCTGCAGCGGTGCACTGGCTGCTTGCCCTCACGTCTGATTGCGCAGTTGCTTTCAGTTGTTCCTGTGGGTCTGGCGCCCGCTGTGCTCCTGGCTTAAACGTCTGTTCGATTCCTTCTAGCTGTTTCTGTTCGTCATGATGCCTCCCCTGATGCTGCTGCTGGCTGCCTCCAAATCTGCCCGTGTTTAGTTTGTATCGTTCCTGGCTGTTTACTGTCGTTATGGTGCCTCCCCTGCGTTCCCACGATGTCCTTGTTGCTCGCAGTTGCAGGAGGAAGGGCAGGAACACGTCGATGCGGATGAGGAATTTGAGAAGGAGGAGGGTACGGAGGAGGGAGATGATGAGAAGGAGGAACCGGAGGAGGAGGAGGAGGAGGAGGAGGAGGAGGAGGAGGCGGATAATAAGACGGACGGGGCTACTGCATCCCCATAGCCGTTGAGAACCCCAATAGAAACTGATCAAACTTGCTTACCGCTTCCATGGATCACTGCCCTCGCTTTCCTTCGCGCTTCTCTTTTGAGGATGGTGGGGAGGATACGGAACAGAGGGGGGGGGGGGGACTGGGATGAAGCGGAGATGGAGGGAGAGGACGAGGAGGAGGCCGAGGGTGTGGATGATGATAATAATGCTGAGCATGCTGATGATGCTGCTGCTGATGATTCGGATGCTGATGCTGCTGATGATGATGCTGCTGATGCTGAGGGTACAGATGATGATGATGATGATGATGATGATGATGATGATGATGATGATGATGATGATGATGATGATGATGATGCTGATGATGATGATGATGATGGTGATGATGATGATGATGATGATGATAATGATGCTGATGCTGATGCTGCTGATGATGATGATGCAACTGACGATGCTGCTGCTGCTGATGATGAAGATGAAGATGAATATATGGATGATGCTATGGTGATGACGATGGTGATGCTGCTGCTGCTGATGATGATGGTACGGGTGATGCTGATGCTGATGATGATGGTGATTATGTTGGTAATGGTGATGGTGAAACTGCTGATTCGTATGATGATGATGCTGATACTGACGCTGATGATGCTGATGCTGCTGCTGATTATTGCAGTGACGCTGATGCTGATGATGCTGATGCTGATGATGATGTTGCTGATGCTGATATGCTGCTGCAGATGCTGATGATGATGCTGAGGATGACGAGGATTATACTGATGCTGACGATGCCGATGATGATGCTGCTGCTGTTGATGAGGATGATTGCACTGCTGATGCTTCTGCGGCTTATGCTGACGATGATGTTGATGATGGTGATGCTGCTGATGATTATACTGATGTCGATGATGTTGATGCTGATTACGATGCTGATGGCGACACTGTCGATGCTGATGATGCTGAATGCTGATGCTGCTGATGATGACGAGTAAGATGATGATCTTGCTGATAGTGATGCTGATGCTGTTGATGCTGATGATGTTGACGGTGATGATGATCATGATGCTGATGTTGATGCGGATGTTACTGGCGCTGCTGCTGATGATGATGCTGCTTGTGATGATTCTGATGCGAATGATGAGGCTGATGCTGACGAAGATGGTATGATGATGCTGATGCTGCTGCTGATGATGATGCTGATGATAATGCTGCTGATGATGCTGATGTTGATGCTGCTGATGATGATGATGATGATGCTGGTGCTGTTGATGCTTCTGCTGACGACGACGACACCATCGTGGCTGTGGACGTTGATGGTGATGCTGCTACCGAGGATGCTGTTGAGGTCGTTGGCGACGTCGACGGCGGTGTTGTTTTTGATGCTGGTGATGATGCTGGCGACGCTGACAAGGACAACGACCATGATGCTACTTGTGATGGTGATGCTGATACGGCTACGGCTGATGCTCATGCTGCCGATGATGACGATGTTGGTGGTGAGAAGGAGGGCGATGATGAGGATGAGGATGACGACGATGCGGAGCACGCGGAATAGGAGTATGCGGAATAGGACGAGGAGGAGGAGGAAGAGAAGGAGGATTGAGATGCTGATGCTGCTGCTGCTGATGATGCTGATGTTGCGGACGAGGATGATGCTGCTGATGATGATGATGCTGCCGCGGATGCTGATGATGTTGATGCTGATGCTGATGCTGACGCTGATGCTGGTGATGATGATGACGATGCTGATGATGCTGATGATGATGCTGCTGCTGATGATGATGATGATGAGGATGATGACGACGATGAGAAGGGGGCCGGGGAGGAGGAGGAGGAGGAGAAGGAGGAGGAGGTGGGGGAGGAGGAGGAGGAGGAGAAGGAGACCGAGGAAGCGGATGCTGCTGATGACGACGACGATGACGACGCCGAGCACGAAGCGCAGCTTGGCCCTCAAAGACTGAGGGTCCGCGGATTCGCGCCAGTCCTCAATGCCCTTATCAAGCAGGCCAACGTGCACCGCTTCAAGGCTAGCGTTCGTTCGGGGGTGGGGTGGGGTGAGGGGGGGGGAATGGGGAGAGGGGGCTGTCGCCACCTCCAGCGGGGCAGGAGGATGGACGAGAAAGAAGCAGGCTGGACGAGGGGGGAGGGGGGAAGGGGGACTAGGGCAAGGGATGACGGTGATGATGTTGACCATTCTGATGTTGATGCTGAAGCTGAAGATGATGATGAAGAAGAACACGGTGATGATGCTGGTGATGATGAAGATGATGCTAATGCTGATGACAATGATGCTGCTAACGCCTATGATAATGATGTTGACGTTGAGGGTGATGATGCTGATGCTGATGCTGCTGTTGATGATGATGCTGATGATGCTGACCATGATGATGGTCATGACCATGCCGTTGATGCTACAATGATGGTGGTGGTGATGACGGCGATGGTGCTGATGCTGCTGCTGCTGCTGATAGTGCTGATGGCGACGATGCTGCTGATGCTGCTGATGATGATGGCGCTGATACTGTCGACGATGATGTTTTTGCTGCAGAATCTGACGACGACAGTGTCGAGGATCGTGATGCTGGCGATGTTTATCTATGATGATGATGACGATGCTGATGCTGCTGTTGATGTTTATGATGGTGATGCTGGGGATGGTAGTGACGCTGATGATGCTGATGATGGTGCTGATGCTGATGCTGATGCCGATGCTGATGTCACTGCTGCTGCTGATGATGCTGATGATGATGATGGTGGTGATTAGGCTGATGCTCATGAGGAGGATGAGGAGGACGAGGATGATCATGTTGATGGGAGGGACGCTGTGAGAGGAGAGGGAGCGGGTGGGGGAGGTGAAGAGGAACCATGTATGGAGGGGACTGGACACGGACAAGAAGACTGAGGATGAGAGAGGCGGAGGCTGGACGAGGGGGGGGGAGGGGATTAGGGCAAGGATGATGATGCCGTTGATGATGGTGATGATGTTGATCATGATTCGGATGATGATGCTGATGTTATTGATAGCAGATGCGGGTGACGATGATGATGTTGATGCTCATGACGATGATGATGATGATGATGCTGGTGCTGTTGATGACGATGGCGACAATCCTGATGGCGACGCTCGATGGTAATGATGATGATGGGTGGTGATGCTGTGGCTGATGCTGATGCTGCTGCTGATGAGGATGCTGATGACACTGATGATGATGACGCTCATGCTGATGACGGTGCTGCTGATGCTGCTGATGACGACGATCGCAAGGATGTGCCTGCCGATGATGATGCTGCTGATGATGATGAGGAGGATGATGCTGCTGCTTGTGATGATGATGCTGGTGCTGATGCTGAGGTTGCTGCTGATGATGACGATGATGCTGACGATGATGATGACGACGATGATGCTGATGATGCTGTGATGGTGATGGTGATGATGCTGATGATGGCGGTGATGCTGATGAGGATGACGATCACAACGACGATGGTGCTGATGCTGATGCAGATGCAGAAGGTGATGATGCTGCTGCTGATGATGATGATGATGTTAACGATGATGCTGATGCTGTTGCTGATGATGATGATGATGATGATGATGGTGATGCTGATGCTGATGATGGTGCTGCTGCTGGTGATGCTGATTATGCTGATGATGATGGTGGTGATGATGATGGTGGTGATTACGATGATGCTGACCGTACTGATGATGCTGATGATGATTCTGATGAGAATGATGATGAGGCTGATGATGATGATGATGATGATGATGATGAGGAGGAGGAGGAGGAGGAGGAGCAGGAGGAGGAGTAGGACAGGGAGGAAGAGGATGGGAGTGATGCTGTGAACGAAGCAGGATGTGAGAGGCGGTTGAGGAGGATAAAGACGAGGAGGGGAATGGAGTCGGAGTCGGAGAGAAGGAGTAGGAGTAGGAGTAGGAGTAGGAGTAGGAGTAGGAGTAGGAGTAGGAGTAGGAGTAGGAGTAGGAGTAGGAGTAGGAGTAGGAGTAGGAGTAGGAGTAGGAGTAGGAGTAGGAGTAGGAGTAGAGTAGGAGGAGGAGGAGAGAGGAGGAGGAGGGGAGGAGGAGGAGGAGGAGGAGAGGGAGGAGAAGGAGGAGGAGGAGGACAAGAGTCAACCTACTATGGATCAGCGATGCTGCAGTACACCCTTCCAGCTCCACGTGCTTGTTTTTTCATTTCGCCAGGCACCCCCTGGAAAGACGGGCGCCCCTTGGGACCGTATTTCGGGTGGGAACTCCGCGTTGGAACATAGGCCGTCCTTCATCAGTTGAGCCATACGGAGTGCGACGAGGTGGGCTCAGGCAGGTCAAGAACGTCTCTGGCGAAAGCCCACTGTGAAAATTCCACCCGTGCAGCGGCTGCTCAGGTTTAAGACGGAAAGTCGGAAGATCCAGCGACGTCCACGACGAAGATCCCACTCTGAAAAGAGGTCGCCCTACACCCGTGTAGCTGGTGAACACGTCTCTGCACCTGGTTGCAATGTTCGAGGAGTTCTTAGGCGAGACCACCATTTTGAAACTGAGCCGCCCTCCAGCCGTGTAGCTGTTGAAGACGGTTGAGACGAATGTGCGCGGCGCTAAGGAAAGAAACCCATTTTGGAAGCCACCCTCCCTCAAATGTAACCGCTGTTTTTTTCAAGAGTGTGCGCGGCGCCAAGGCGAGATCCCCATTTCGAAAACCAGTCGCTCTCCACCTCTGCAGCTGCTGGAAGTTCCAAGCCCCAATCGCGTCATCCGTGATGAAGTCTCCAGCCGTACGCCCGGCCCGCCCAAACGCCACGCCTTGGGGCACGACAGGGAGGAGTTATCTGAATGGAGGTGGAATGGATGAGGAGGAGGAGGAGGAGGAGGAGGAGGAGGAGGAGGAGGAGGAGGAGGAGGAGGAGGAAGAGGCAGGAGGCCCTCCACCTCCTGCCTCTTCCCCCTCCCTCTCCGCTTGCCCCTTCTTGCCCCCCTCCCCCCTGCCTTTCCCTCCCCCTGCCCCTTCCCTCTCTCCCTCCCTCCAGTGCCCCCTCCCCCCCCTGGTGTCCTTGCGGCCGGGGGGAACATTCTAGCACGCCCAGAGACCCACAAGGGGTCGGCGGACTTCAAACATGGGTCTTTACTTTGTTGTTTTTTGCAATCCGATTGCTCGGTGTTTCAAAATTGTGTTCCATCTGTAGCGTGGGCCTTATTTTCGGATCGGTGCTTCGCCCCCGTCGTTCAGAGTGGCGCTCTCGCCCCACCGCGCCACTTCCTGGATCGGGGTCCCTTTTCATCGTTGTCGCCCCACCATTTCCTCTTCTCCGCCTTCCCCTGGTCCTCCTGCTCCTCCCGCTCCATCCACTCCAGCTCCAGCTGCTGCTGTTCGTCCTTGTCCTCCTCCTTCCTCGTCCTCCAACTTGTCCTTCTGCTCATCCTCCTGCTCATCCGCCACCTCCTCCTCCTCTTCCTCCTGTTCCTCCTCCTCCTCCTCCTTCTCCTCTCCCTCACAGGTACGCCGTCTTTTTGCTTTTTCTTTTCTCTTCCGATTGCGCATAACACGATCAAAAGGGTTCCTCTTTAGAGTTCCAGGTCCGCCAGCGCAATGGGAAATAGTTGGGAGGGGTAGGATGTCAGATGTGGCGCGAGAGCACCTATATAGCTTGTCCCTCCCCCTCCCGCCCGGCCTCCCTGCCTCCTCCCTCCCTCAGTCCTCGTCCATCCAGGCCAGGGTGCTTCCAGTCACATCTGCCCAGGGGCTCGAGGGCTTTTCCACATCTTTGGACATCTACAGAGCGGAGGACAACGCGCATAATCTGTGTCGCAGACCTTCGTGTGAACATCTTCCGACGTCGTGGCTTTCCCACGTGATTTCTCTTTGAAGCGGATCCATGGAGCCCTCGAACCCATCCCCAGGGCTGCTGTTTTGTTTTGTTTGACGCCTGGAGGTCAGGGGCAGTCGGCGGATGACATGTGTGCATCGTGCCGCGTTGGCACCTCTTGAGGCGTCGTCGATCCTTGGCCCAGGCATGGTACGGTGCATGCCTCTTTGGCAGCCAGAGCCAAACGACTATACACCGTACCGCGTTGGGGCGGGGCCTCGAGGGAAGCCAGACATGGTACTGTGCATGCGCGCCGTTCTCGTAGACACGGGAGACGCGGCCGTCGTCGCCCCGGGTCGCCCCTCGAGCCGCCCAGGTGAAGGTCCTGTGCGAGGCGCAGCGCCTCGCCTACGAGATGGGCCTCCCGCGCCTGTCGCCGGCCTCGGCCCTGATCGAGGTGTTCTTCGACGCCCTCTACAGGCGGAGAGGGGAGCCGACTGGAAGCATGGCAGAGGAGGCGGACGAGAAGGAGGAGGAGGATGAGCGAACAGGGAGGGGATGATGATGATGATGATGATGATGATGATGATGATGATGATGATGATGATGATGATGATGATGATGATGATGATGATGATGATCATGATCATGATGATGATGAGGAGGAGGAGGAAGAGGAGGAGCATGAGCAGGAGGGGGACGACGAGGATGAGGATGAGAATTGTGGGGGATCCTTTATCGTCGTCGTCGTCGTGGTCGTCCTCCTCCTCCTCCTCCTCCCCAACGAGGGCGAGCAAGTGCAATCATTCATGCTATGATTTTCCTCCTGTTGGGAGGCCCCATGCCCACATGCAAGTCTGTTTCTCGTCCATCTTTTTCCTCTTCTCCCCCTTGACATTTCTTCCTGGCTGAGGGATGGCATAATCGAGGCGTTTCACGGCTGCCTTCCACGAGTGGCCACGTCGTAGCCTCCGTCCACTGTGTATTTCATGTGTTGTCGTTGCTTCTGCTTTTGAGCCGCTGTTTCTTTCTTTTTCTTTCTCTCTCTCTCTCTCTCGCCCCCCCCTCTCCGTCTCCGTCTCCCCCTCCCTTTCCCTCTCTCCGCCCTTCCCTGCAGCCCCACTCTGGCAGGGCAGAGATCGTCGAAGAGGAGTACTTCGAGTGGTGGTCGATCAGCAACGACGACACCCCGGGGAAGACCAGCGCGATGTTCCAGATCAACCCCTTCCTCGACTGGCTGCGCGAGGCCAAGCTGGAGGGCGAGTCGTCGTCCTCCGACAGCGGGGAGGGCTCGGAGGGCTCGGACAGCGACGCCGAGTCCGACGACGGCGACGTGGACAACGAGTACACCAAGAGGGCCAACTACCGCTGAGGGGCTCCGCGCGCCGCCGCGGCCGCAGCGACAGCCGGGGGGGGGCGCCGCACCCTCGCCCCTGCTCCCTGCAGCCTCCTCGCCCTCCCCATCCTTTTGATGGGGATGCGGAGGAAGGCCATGAGGACCTGGAGGAGGAGGAGGAGGAGGAGGAGGAGGAGGAGGAGGAGGAGGAGGAGGGAGGAAGGAGGAGGAGGAGGATGAAGAGGAGGAAGAGGAGGAGGAGGAGGAGGACGGCCATGAGGAGGAGGAGAAGGAGGAGGATGAGGAGGAGGACAAGCAGGATAAGGAGGATGCTGCTGCTGCTGCTGCTGCTGCTGATGATGATGATGATGATGATGATGATAATGATGATGATGCTGATGATTGTGATGGTGATGGTGATGGTGGTGGTGGTGGTTATGGTGGTGGTGCCGAGGATGCGGATGCGGCTGTTGCTGCTGATGAGGATGCTGATCTTGACCATGACGATGCTGATCACGACGACGATGGTGATGACGTGGCTGCGGCTGACGATGCTGCTGCTGATCATGATGATGCTGCTGCTGATGAAAACGATGCTCATGATGCTGCGGCTGATGATGCTGCTGCTGCTGATGCTGCTGAGGTTGATGATGATACTGACGACGAGGATGATGACGACGATGAGGATGGAGGAAGGATGAGGTGGATGATGATGAGGATGAGCATGCGAAGGCTGAGTGATGATGATGAGGAGGAGGAGGAGGAGGAGGAGGAGGAGGAGGAGGAGAGGGAGGAGAAGGAGGAAGCGGAGTAGGATGAATAGACGGGGGGAAACTATGATATTGATGAAGATGATGACGATGACGATAAGAAGGAGGTCGAGGATGACGAGTCCGACACGGGATGATGCGTGAATAATGAGAGAGGAAGGAGGGAGGCCGACTGAGTATGCATAACTGATGATGATGATGGTGGTAGTGGTGATGCTGATGATGATTACGATGATTATGTTGCTAATCATGATGATGACGACGATGATGGTGACGCTGATGCTGATGATGGTGATGGGAATTCTGCTGATGATGATGCTGTTCGATGTTGTTGACGAGGATGCTGTCGGCAACGGTGCTGTTGCCGATGACGATGATGCTGCTGCAGCTGATGATAATGCTGATGCTGATGATGATGCTGACACTGATGTTGATGATGATGATGATGATGATGATGATGATGATGATGATGATGATGATGATGATGATGATGATGATGATGATTAGCATGATGAGGCTGATTGTGTTGACGAGGACTATGGGGATGCAGACGAGGATGGACGGAGGTGGTTCAGGATTAGTATGGCGATGCTGATGCTGATTGTGGTGATGCTGCATTTTTTCAACGCATGTGCGCGGTGCTAGGGCGAGAGCCACATTGTGAGAACGAGCCGCGCTCACTCCGTGAAGCGCCTGCAACTTTACAAAACGAATGTGCGCGGCGCTATGGCGAGAGCAACTTCTGGTGAAAAGGACCCGCCCTCAATCCTTGAAGCTCTTACACATTTTTAAAGCGAATGTGCGCGGCGCTATGGGGAGAGCCATTTTTTGTAATAGCGACCCGCCCTCAATCCGTGAAGCTCTTACAAATTTTAGACAGCGAGTGTGCGCGGCGCTAAGGCGAGAGCCACATTTTGGAAGCGACTCACCCTCCATTTCTGATACCGTTGCCTGTTTCTGAGCTTCAGGATCATAAGTGGTGAGGACGTCTCACGCGAAACACCCGGCCAGCCCTTTCCACCGGCCTCTAGGTGCGACAGGGAGGAGTTACCTGTAAGGAGAATGAACGGAGTAGGAGGAGGAGGAGGAAGAGGAGGAGGAGGATGAGGAGGAGGAGGAAGAGGAGGAGGATGAGACTGATGACGCGGGCGAGGATGAGGCAGAGTGTTTTGGGAGGCGGAGGGAGGTGGCACGAGGGAGGAGGTGAGAGGTGAGCGGAGGAGGGCGAGGAACCAGGATGATGATGACCATGACAAGTAATACGACGATCATAGAAGCATTCATGACAGCAGTGCTAGTCAGAGTAGTACTAACAAGAAGACGAGGACGAAGCGGTAGACGAGGTGGGAGGAGGGATGGTGATGATGATGATGGTGGTGGTGGTGGTGATATGATGCCGATGATGACGACGATGCTGACGGTGGCGGTTGTAATGATGAGATAGGTGTTGATGAGAAGGATGACAATGTGGATTACGATCATGAAGGATGATGGCGAGTACGATGATGGCTGCAGACGTTGATTATGATGATGGTGGTGCTATGGTGACGATTGGAAAGAGAATGAGGATGTCGTTGGTGATGGCTGTGGTGGTGGTGATAATATGATGATAACGATGATGACGGCAACGATGACGATGACGATGACGATGACGATGATGATGATGATGATGATGATGATGATGATGATGATGATGATGATGATGATGATGATGATGATGATGATGATGATGATGATATGATTTTGATGATTACGATGACGGTGCTGTTGATAATGATCATGGTGATGACGACGATGTCCATAACGATGGGGATGACGGTGATGGTGATGATCACGATAATGATGATTCTGATGATGCTGCTGACGATGATGATGACGATGATGATGAGGACGATTACGATGATGATCATGATGATGCCAATGCTGATGATGCTGATTATGATGCTGACGGCATGATGCTTCTGATGCTAGTACGGATAATGATAATCCTGTTGATGCGGATGATGATGGTGCGGATGATGATGACGACGATGATGATGATGATGATGACCATGTTGATTATGATGATGAGCATGATGATGATGGCGATGCTGATGACGATGATGATGCTGATGCTGATGCTTAAACGGACAAGTATATTGCTGATGATGCGGATGCTGATGCTGATGACTTAGCTGCCTCGATACGCCCGTTTTGATACGCAACACGTGCCGAGTTCAAAACGTCCGTGTCAATACGTTGCGTGTTGGCTCAACGTATTGGCCCACGTTTTGGCGAACGCATCGCGTCAGACCTACGTGCTCAGTCTACGTGTTGAGCTCCGTATCAATACGCTACGTGTTGCGTTCTGCGTATCGGGGCAGCTAAGGCTGATGATGATGATGGCGATACTGATGATGAGGATTGATTATGATGATGATGCTGATGATGATGGTGATGATGATGATGACGATGTCCATCACGATTATGATGATGATGATGATGATGATGATGATGATGATGATGATGATGATGATGATGATGATAATGATGTTGATTATGATGATGATGATGTTGGCGGTGGTGGTGATGATGTTGATGATGCTGATGATTATGATGATTATGATGATGACGTTGGGGACGATTATGATGAAGATGGTTATGATAGTAATGATGATGATGATGATGATGATGATGATGATGGTGATGTAGGTGATGGTGATGGTGATAATGATGATGATGATGATGATGATGATGGTGGTGGTGGTGGTGGTGGTGATGATGGTGATGGTTATGATGATGATGACGATCATGATGGTGATGACGATGATGATTGTGATGATGATGGCGATGCTGAAGATGATGATGATGATGATGATGATGATGATGATGATGATGATTATGATGATGATGATGATGATGATGCTGATGCTGGTGCTGGTGCTGATGATGATGAAGATGAAGATGATGATGATGACGATGATGATGATGATGATGATGATGATGATGATGATGATGATGATGATGATGATGATGACCACGACGACGATGATGATGATGATGATGATGATGATGATGATGATGATGATGATGATGATGATGATGATGATGATGATGATGATGATGATGGTGATGATGATGATGCTGATGCTGCTGATGATGATGATGCTGATGGTGGTGGTGGTGGTTTTTGTGGTGATGATGATGATGATGACGATGATGACGACGAGGATGACGTTGAGTGGTGATGGTGCTACTGCTGCTGCCGAGGAGGAGGAGCAGGAGGAGGAGGAGGAGGAGGAGGAGGAGGAGGAGGAGGAGGAGGGAGGAGGAGGAGGGAGGAGGAGGAGGAGTAGGGAGGAGGAGGAAGAGGAGGAGGAGGAGGAGGAGCAGCCAGCAGCAGTAGGAGCATTCAGCAGCAGCAGCAGCAGCAGCAATAGGAGCCCTCCTTCCTCCCGCCTCCCGGGACCGTCCTCGCCGGTCCCCGCGTGGGACGGCCTCAAGTGGCCAGCGACAGGACGGCGCCCCGCCGCTCTCGCCCCCAGGCGACAGGGAGGGGCTCGGGCACGCCGCCCGCGCGTGCGCGCGCCACTCAGGGCTAACATTAGGGTCAGGAATTTTGGTTTACCGGCGCCACCCAAACATACCTATGCTGTTTGTGATCTTTCTCTTATTCGTTGTTTTGCTGATCGGCGCGGGCCCTCGCACCCCCACGCCCCCCCTTCCCATGGAGTAGATCTTGGCTGTTCTTGGCGCCTGCCTGAAGCAGGTGGAGTCTCCACCATAGGACGCACTGCTGTAAACAGTCGCATCAAGCAGAGGTCTGGAGCCAGATCCCCCGCTCCTCTCCGCACAATGCCGAAACGCCGAAAAAGAAAACGTTCACTATGCGCGTCGGCCACGCGATGGCGACGCGCACGCTCGGAAACTCTCTAGTATAAGCTCCATGGCGGACGCTTTCTGACCATGCCGCTCGGGAAGCGATACATATATATATATATATATATACTCCAAGCAGTGCCTGCACTTGGCGATTCTTGCTCTTGCTCCAAGGCGCCGGGCCTGGGTGGCCGTCTTGCGGCTGCGTGCTCGCTGTCGCCGCCCCGTCGCCGCCTTGCCGCCCGTCGTCTGGGCCTGGGTGTCTGTCTGGCGGCTCCGAGCTCGCCGTTGCCGCCCCGTCGCCGCGTAGATGGTAGAACATACAACGCACCGCTCATATTGCACAAGATAGCGTGCGCTGCATAGATTGCACCGCATTGGTTGCACCACGTCGATAGCACCACATAGATTGCACAACACAGGTTGCACAGCATTGATTGCACCACGCAGATTGCACCATCTAGACTGCACCACATGGGTTGCATCACATGGATTGCTCCACAAATGTTGCATCACATAGATTGCACAGCATTTATTAC